TCGGAACATGCTTCACAACTCCTTGTTCAAGCTCTTGTTCTGTCCAGGCTGGACTATTGCAATGCTCTCTTGGCAGGTCTTCCCACCAGTTCTATAAAACCTTTACAATTAATCCAGAACGCGGCAGCAAGATTAATTTTTAATGAGCCAAAAAGAACGCACGTCACACCTCTGTTCATCAATTTGCCCTGGCTACCAATAGCTGCTCGCATAAAATTCAAAGCATTAATGTTTGCCCACAAAACCACCACTGGCTCTGCGCCCCTTTACCTAAATCTATTACTTCAGACTTATGTGCCCTCTAGAAGCTTGCGTTCTGCAAGTGAACGTCGCTTTATTGTGCCATCTCAAAGAGGCACAAAATCACTTTCACGGACTTTTAAATTAAATGTTCCCTCCTGGTGGAATGACCTGCCCAACTCAATCTGAGTAGCTGAGTCCTTACCCATCTTCAAGAATCAGCTAAAACACATCTCTTCCATCTTTTTTTTTTTTTTACCCTCTAAGTCTAGCACTCTCTATTCTAATTCTATTTATATATTAAAAAAATTTAAAAAAAAACTAACACTAGCTTTTCTAATCTTTTTGCATTCTATCTGTTTTCTTTTTATTTATTATACAATTATCAAAAGCAAAAAAGGCCTCTAACACTAGCTTGCTCTTTTCTTTTTCTATTCTATGTTTTCCTTTTTATTTATTATATTATAAAAAAAGCTTGCTACGTGTACTGCGTTCCAAACACACACACACACACACACACACACACACACACACACACACACACAAACAACACTATTGTACAATCTCACAGCCACATATTAACATATGTGTATGTTAATGCTTGAAATCATTAGTTTGTGTAAACAGCGCAACGCCCACAAGGCTGACTGAATGAAAGACAGATGGAGACATTACATGACGAGAGACATTAATTTACCAATGAAGGCATTTTTCAGACATGATGGAGAGCGAGAAATTCCTACACTGATGTTCACAGACCACATCCTACTCATAATATTTGTACATAGACACCTTTCTTCCTCTGACAGCATTTTTCCATCGATTTTTCACCATGTGGGCGACTGCTTTCGCAAACTGAGAAACATTTTCAAGCATTGTAAATATTCAAAGAACCGGACAACACAATTAAAATGCGACTGAGATGGCATAACATGCTACTTTTGCCATCACTGACAGAACATTGGAAAAGTTCTTGACATTACAGATTACTATGACACAAATGCGAACAAACAGCAAAACATATATTAAGAACCCATTAAGCAAAAATAGTATCATTGTTATGGATTTCCACTTAGAAGTAAGGCAGAAGCATACTTTACCAAGTACACAAACACTTAACCGTCAGTACTCTAGGGGGTGATAAAGTTCATCTGTGTCATTCAAGCCCATGTGTTTTTTTTTATTCAGGTCGCTAGAAATAAAACACGTCCACATTAACTAACTTGCGCAACAAGATACTTATCAAGTACTGTACAAGCACTTAAACTTTATTAGATATAACTTATTTACACAATGGCAGGAATTAAAACATCAAAATTAGAAATTGCTTATTGAGGGATTGAGAGTTTGCATAAATTGAAGTGCATTTTGGCATTTTGAAACATTGTCATAAACTTAACAAACATGATCAAATGTTTTAGAGTGCAACAACCCAATTAAGAGCACAAAACATCCCAGCAAACCATCACTCATACTCACAGATGTTTGTGCTGGTGCTTTCCCTCCAAAATGTTGTCACTTCCTGGAGGATGATGTCATTAGGGAAGTGGCTGTTGTTAGTTAAAAGAATTTTGGATGTCCAGCTTTCAACTGAGTTTTGAAAATGCTTTATTTGGTTTCCTCACTTATGACACATCTTTTCATGAGGAATATTATTTAATTAATCTGTTACTTCTATCAACTAAATTAAGTATACATAAATATAAATATGGCGGAAATAAACCTTTTAATTTTAAAGACAGAAGTTCAAAAATACCTAAAAAAAATAAGTTTGAAAATAAATGTGTTAATATTTGTAAACCTTTTAATGTTTTTGTTCAACTGTATTTCTGTTATATTTATTTATTTATTTGTATTTTTTTAAATAATAAAATAAATAAGAAAACAGTATTTAAACATCTTGATTAGAGAAAGAAAAACACTTTCTTAATATCAATAAAAGAAATAAGATAAATATGAAATTAAATCATGTAGTGAAATTATATAATTTGTTGTGACATTGTGATAACATAATAAAAAATATAATTTATTTCCAATATCTTTATCATATTATTTTTTTTATAATATTACAAAATGTAATAAAATCATATAAATAATATTTAATCATATTTAATAATAATAATTTAATATTATATAAATAACAATTTATAACATATTTTTTTTAACATTTAACATTAAAACGGTGCACAAGAAAAAATTAACTGCCTAACATTAATTAATATCAACAAACAATTTAAAAAAATGTTTAAAAAATCTCCACATGGTACTCTGGTTAGTAGTGTTCACACCAGTAATTTGCGACCGTTTACCTCCTCATTAGCAAGCGGATAACAGTTCCAGCTCGTTTCCAGTAACTTGCACTCTGCATCCATTAAGTTTGTTTTATATCCAGGGATAAATATGCTGTGAGTGAACTGGGGCAATTTGATAGCTTATACGACTGGAAAACAGTCCCAGTTCAGGTCCAGAATGGTAGATCATAGATGACTCATGAAGAAATTCCGCAACAAATATGAAAACAGGCATAATTCAATGAACAGTAAAACATCTTTGCAAGCTTTCTGGACACCAGTGCCAGGAAGACAGGCGCTGTGGAGCTGTTAGTGTAAAGATGACATCAATCAGACAAGTCAGGCTTACTTTAATGAAATCTAAACATCACAAAGACATATATTAAGCAGTAAAGTTTTCAAAAACATGCATACAGAGGCAACAGGGCCCTAAACTTCATGTATCAAAACAGCATGTACATTCTTGACGACTGATGTCTGTCTCTTTGACTCCTGAGTGTGAGATGTGTACAGCAGCACTGTGTAAATCTCTGGTAATGAAACGTTCAGCATCTGAGGGCCAACATTCGTTCCAAGGTGAGCCTCTTACCATTGCTAACAGCTCCTTCTAGTGGTCAAAATCTCAGAGGTGAGCTAAATCCAGCAGCAAGACCCACACAGACACTCGGGCTTGTACTGTACAGCTGGGTAAATCAAGAGACAGCACGTATGATAAGCACAGAACAATCAAAAGAAATGAAATACGGTGTGCAGTTCTTCAAACTTGCTATCACACATCTGACAAAACAATTTCAAAGCAAAACAGAGCAACCCATTGATGAACTTTACATATGGGACATGTGCACATGCCATTTTGGAGCACTCTATAAGGCAAATCAGGGACATGTAAACAGCAGAGGGCCACTTGGACACCGAGCGAACGGTATGATTAAACAATCGTGGCTGTTAAATCTAAATTGTGGTTTCAGCAGTTCAAAGTTCAGAACAGGTGGGTGTAGATTGCCTATTCTTAAACTACCACCAAGACCTGCATGATAGAAAAGAGATTTTAAGCATTTACCACAGTATTCACCACACACCTCAGCTGGTTTTAATTGTGTGCTGGAGTGATACGGACTTCACGGATGCCATCAGTAGCTGTTGCTGCATATGTTGCTCAGACATTTCTATAGGGGTTTTGTAACAAGGGTTGAGCTGTAACACCATCAGTTTAACCATTTAGAAATAATTTACATCACTAGATGATTGACACCCTTATGAGAAGACAGAAATACATGATCACATCTGACTTTGTGATCATGTTATTGGAGAATACATGACAGAAGTGGTATTATCCGAATCAGCAGCTTCTCCTGTTTAATTTGATATATAGCATCCAGTTGTGACACATTCAAAACTAACCAAAACTATTGTTTTCTGTTTCTTTTTGCTGGAAATGTGTCCCACATGTTCGCAGTTTTTAATTAAAATGCTTGAAAGCATAATCATTATTTTGAACAAGTAAATGTGATTATCCATGTTTTCTATTAGTGCTACCGGTAGGTTGTATCAGCAGCACACTAATTTGAACGGTTTCTGGATAAGTAGTAGATTTCAAAACTACTTTAATTTGCAGAAGACAAACATGGGAATATTATGTGAACGTCTGAGACACGCAGAGCAAAACAAGACAGAGTTACCGACGTTAAAACAAAACACTCCCCATTCTCCCTTACTCATACATGTTCTCTGCGCGCACTAATACACGGGTGGTGCCTATCAGCAGAGCGATTCTAATCGTGCTCTTTTGTGTGTATTCTCTATGTATGTGAGCAAGCGTCCTTATCATGTCACATCCATGTTGCGTCTTGAATCTGCTGGAAAGCCGCTGAGCTTCGTGCACGAATCTGACGCTATATACTACCGGCCACAAAGTGCACGGAAGATCTCATTTGCTCTGCGCTCTTGGCATCACTGCGTAAAGGACTGATCCTATTGCCGGGGGGAGGCGCTGGCGCTGCGCCCCGATCTGGCAAGTGCGCCTCCCTTCACCGCTGTTTGGCTTATTCATAGTTAGGGGTTTGGGTTTGGCTGTTTTTAAAAAGGCAAGCACTGCTGTGAGGTTGATCAGTCTGCTCTGAAAACTACAGAGGGGAAAGTGTTTTGGAATCGGAAAGTCCAGAATTTCAGTGCGCAACCAATTGCGCACAAACTGGACTATTGGAGAATACCCAAGTGAATCATTTTTTATATTAATATATTTATATGAAAAATCCACCGGATTCTTCTTCATCATCTATTTTTCATCAAAGACTGTCTCTATTTTCTCATTTTTAAGACACCCCAAACTGTGCTTTCACTTTGCATGCGGAGTTTTCACTCGAATCTGAGCCAAACGTTCATGCGTTCTCATATCTAGTTCATGCTCTCTTTTTTCTTTTAAACCGGACCTCATTCACTTTGAAACGAAGCATGGCTCTTCTTGTGCTGGGTACATTTCTCACGGCGTTGTCCATCAGCGGAGGCTCTTACGTGCCGTGCGAGCCGTGCGACCAGAAGGCGCTCTCCATGTGTCCTCCGGTCCCGGTGGGCTGTCAGCTGGTGAAGGAGCCCGGCTGCGGCTGCTGCTTGACTTGCGCTCTGGCGGAGGGGCAAGCGTGCGGGGTGTACACCGGTACATGCACGCACGGACTGCGCTGCCTGCCGCGCAACGGCGAGGAGAAGCCGCTTCACGCCCTGCTGCACGGCAGGGGAGTGTGCACGAACGAGAAGGGATACAAACCACCGCATCCACCCATTGGTAAGTTGACTGGAAAGCAGTGCGCCTTTGTTGCACGGAAGCATTGTTGCGTTGAGATCGTGTATCTGGTGGGAACGTTGTGGCTTGCGCTGATCCAGTTTTATGGCGTGCGGATGTTTCTGCATGGGCTTTTCTGTGTTGTGGCTGGGCTGCGCTGCTCAGTGCTGTTTTCCATCATATCCAAGCGCTGTAGATTACTAGGATTAGTGAAGCCTGTTTATGTTTCATCCAAAGCCAATTATTAACAAAACGGTTTCCATCTTCACGCTGCAAAGGCACTTATACAAAAAGTACCGTGGTGGTACCGCGTTTTCTGGAAATGTTCCATGGTATTTTTGGACGCACCTAAGAGTATGATGTAAATGCCATTCCAGTACCATTGTATCATCATCAGATACGTTAAAATTTGAGCATTATTAAAAGAGTATAGAATAGTTGTATTTTAGTCAAAATCAAGTGGCGTTTTTTGGCATGGTGTCATTGGGACTACCATTGTATTTTGGACATATATCATGGTACTACCATGTTTTTTGCCATTTACCATAGTAGTATCATAGTATTGTTTTTGGACGCTCCCAGATAATGCCATCACTGTGCCAAGTCACTGCCACTGTACTTTTTTTAAGGGATATATCAATGTACCATGGTACTGCCATCTGATACCATCTCTGTATCATTTTTGTACTTAAGCTGCATCTAAAGTATCATATAATGCATTTACATAGAAATTATGTGCAGTGAAATGTATGAAAGTTGTGAATAAAAATATTAACCTATTAATATATGCTCTATAAAGGCAAAGTTTCATTGCATTTCATTGGCACAGAAGCAAAGCAGCATCAGATTCAGCAGAACTGCATAATTTAGTATGCTTCTCAGAACTGAGTAAAGACGCCTCTAGATGCATAACTCCATACAGTCTTGCCTTGTGTTTAGTTATGGTTTGATTTGGCAATGGCATTTGTTTGGTGCTCTATTGACGTTAGGGACTCCTCCATTGTTACGATCACACCTCTCATCATTGTACGGTGTACCCACGCCTCATGATATTCTTGATTGAGATTCTAGTTGCTCTGAATTTAGGTCTAAGTCTGTGGGTGGTGTTAAGGGTCGGATTACAGTTCGAAGATTAAATCTGAGGGGAGGAGGGTAGGCACGGTGTCTCTACAAGCCAACCTATGTGCAAAAATCACACGTTTACGAAGAGTAGTCGTGCACGGCACGCATATTTATTTACATTTACGCATTTGCCAGATGCTTTTATTCAGTGCACTAAATTCATGCTTTCCTTTGGATTCGAACCACTAACCTTGGCATTGTTAGTGCAGTGCCCTACCAGCTGAGCTACATGAACAAAAATAGTACATTGGGTTACAGAACTATATCTTTTAGACTTCAGCAATGCTTTATCCAACAAGACCGCACATATCCTTAAAACAGATGAGGTTTAATTCA